AGAACTCTTCTTTGGACCCAGCTACTTATGTATTTTCTTCTTCCTGGGACTCTCCTTTGAAGGTAGGGACTGTATGCCTAATTTCTCTAGCAGTTAGAGCTATATCTAATACATAGTTTGGGCTCAGGAAATATTGGATGGATAGGTAGAAAGGTGGGTACCTGGGTACTTCGAAAAAAAAAAAAAAAAAGAAAATGGAATATAAAAGTACAGAAGATGCAAGCTGGTTCAGCCACTCTGGAAAACAGTATAGAGGTTCCTCCAAAAGTTGAAAATAGAGCTACCCTATGACCCAGCAATAGCGCTACTGTGTATTTACCCTAAAGATACAAATGTAGTGATCCGAAGGGGCATGTGCACCCAAATGTTTATAGCAGCAATGTCAACAATAGCCAAACTATGGAAAGAACCTAGATGTCCATCAACAGATGAATGTATAAAGAACAAGTGGTATAAATATACAATGGAATACTATGCAGCCATCAAAAGAAATGAACTCTTGCCATTTGTGATGATATGGGTAGAACTAGAGGGTATTATGCTGACTGAACTAAGTCAATCAGAGAAAGACAATTATCATATGATCTCTCTGCTATGAGGAATTTGAGAGGCAGGGCAGGGGGTTGTGGGGGGTAGGAAAGGAAAAAGTGAAACGAGATGGGATTGGGAGGGACAAAAACCATAAGAGACTCTTAATTCCAGGAAACAAACTGAGAGTTGCCGGGGAGTGGGGGGCGGGTAGGGATAGGGTGGCTGGGGTTATGGACATTGAGGAGGGTATGTGCTATGGTGAGTGCTGTGAATTGTGTAAGACTGATGATTCACAGACCTGTACCCCTGGGACAAATAATACATTATATGTTAATTAAAAAAAAAAAGTACAGAGGATAGGAAGGTCAAACATGCAGGATTCTGTGTGTGTGTGGGGGGGGGGAGGAAGGATTTAAGCTGCAGTCGACAATGCAGCAATTTCTAACAAATTCTTGAGCAATATAAAATTGATGTATCTTGTAGTTTTCTTCAGGTTTTTTTTTTATGTTTAGGGTTTGTTGAGCATCTTTTATCTGTGGGTTTACAAATTTACTTAAAAGTAGATTTTTTTTTTTTGCTGTTATTTCCATCTTTTACATGTTTGAAGATTTGATTATTAATACTCTTAAAAAAAAAAGGTGCCTCAGTGGCTCAGTCAGTTAAGCATCTGCCTTCTGCTCAGGTCATGATCCCAGGGTCCTGGGATTGAGCCCCACATTGGGCTCCCTACTCTGTGGGGGTTGGGAGGCTGCTTCTCCCTCTCCTTCTGCCTGCTACTCCCCCTGCTTGTGCTCATTCTCTGTCAAATAAATAAAATCTTAAACAAAGAAGTAAACCCAACTCTTTTTCTGTTTGATTTTTGGATAGTTTCTGTTGCTATGTCTGCAATTTCACTGATCTTTTCTTTTGCAGTGTCTAAATTGCTATTCATCCCATCCATACTATTTTTCACTTCAGGCACTGTAGTTTTCACCTCTGAAAATTCATTTTGAATCCTCTTAATGTCTTCTATACCTCTACTTAGCTTTTTGGAATATATGGAATACTTATAATCATCTGCTTTAATTTTCTTGCCTGCTAATAATTCTAACATCTTTCTCTGTTTTGAGCCTATTTTAGATTAATTTTTCTCCTCTTTATGGGTTGTATTTTTTTTTCTTTGCATCTCTGCATACTTGTTAATTTTTGACTAGATGCCAGACATTTTGAAGTTTACCTTGTTAGGGGCTTGTTATTTTTGTATTCCTATTTCTTTGAGGTTTGTTCTAGGAGCAGGTAATTTACTTGGAACTGCTTTATACCTTTTGAGTTCTGCTTTTAAGATTTTTTAGGTGGTCTAGAGCAGAGTTTAGTCTAGGCATAATTATTCTCTGCTGAGACAAGATCCTTCTGAGTACTCAGTGTCCTAAGTCTGACTCGTAGGAACAGGCGTTACTCCCAACCTTGTGTCAGTGCCTGCTGCGTTGTCCTCTAAGACTTTTGAATGGTTTTTTTCACGTGCATACTCTGCTGAACATTCATGGAAGTAAAACTGAGGATATTTGTAGTTCTTTATCTGGGCATCTCTCTGTCTCTCTCTCTCACTCTGCCCCGAGAATTCTAGTCCTGTTGTTCTCCCCAGACAACCTGTTCTTTTTTTTTTTTTAAACTGAGGGAGACTGCTGAGCTTTACCTGGGATTCTCCTGCTTGCTGGGACCCCTACTGAAGCCTGGAAACCCTTTGGGCTATAAGTTGGGAAAATTCTAGGACTCATATATTTTATTTACTATTTCTAGAGATTACTGTCCTTTGTTGTTGGATGTCTAGTGCCTTGAAAATTATTGCTTCCTCTGTTTTGTCCACATCTTTTGTTGTTTCAGGCTAGATGGTAAATCTAATTCTTCACTTTTTGGTTTGGTTAGAAGAGGAAATCTGTTTTTCCTTCTTTAACTGGGCTTTATTAAAATTTTAATTTATAGTTGTGGTAAGACCACATTACGTAAAATTTACTGTCTTAACTATTATTAAGGATACAGTCCAGTAGTGTTAACTATATATACATTTTTGTGCAACAGTTCCCTGTAACATTGTCTTGTAAAACTGCAACTCTGTACCCATTAAATAGCTCCTCATTACCTGTACACCTGTGCGAACCATCATTCTATTTCTGTGATTTTAACTACTTTAGATACCTCATATAAGTGAAGTCATATGGGATTTCTCTTTTTGTGACTGGCTTATTTTACTTAGCCTAGTGTCTTCAAGATTTATTCATGTTGTAGCATATGATAGATTTCCTTTTGTTTCAAGGCTGAATAATATTCTGCTACAACTGTATATCAAATTTATTTATTCATTTGTCTGTTGATAGATATTTGCACTGCTCCCACCTGTTAGCTGTTGGAATAATGATGTTATAAGCATGGATGTACTTTCAGTTCTTTGGGATATATACCCAGATATGAGATTGCTGGATCATATAGCACTGGTATATGAGGGAACCTCTTCATAGTGGTTGTACCATTTTACAGTCCCAGCAACAGTACCCAAGGGTTCCAATTTTCTTAACTAAGTTTTAAGCTTAGATATTTTATGTTTATCTACTTTTCTGTAGTCTAGGGTAATGATGGCAGCTATGCATATGGGATCATTGTGGTGGGGATGTTGTTTGGGAAGAACTCAGCCTTCAGCCTACTTACTGGGGGTCTTTTGTTAGAATCCCTGGGTTCTGTTCCTTTTAAAAAGCTTTTAGTGAATGTTTTCTTCAGCTAATTGAGAGCCATATATTATTCCAGTGATGCTCAGGTTATTTCTTCAATTCATTTTGGAGTCTAGGAGTCTTTCTTCAGGCACAAAGATTATTGTGCTATTTTTATTATTCCAGTCAGAAGAGAGGAAAAAAAGAAGACAAGAATAACTACTGAGTTTGTTTCTATCTATATTTGAGTGTAATAATGACAGTTATCAAGAATTTGTCATTTGACAAGTAGGGCTTCTGGAGGTTTAGTGGGCTTGGAGCTGAACCATGCTGTGCCTTTTTGTTTTACCACAGTCTTGGTAGTTTTCAGTTTTTAATGGTTACTTGTAAATTTCTTTTTACTTGTTTTACTTGTTTCTTTTTACTTGTTTACTTGTAATAAATTTTCCTTTTGACTATTTTTAATGTTCAAAGGAATATATGTTTTTGTTCATATCATCAGGTAATTTAGGAGAGAAATTCTGTGATGTCTGTTATCTGAACCTGGAAGTTCATGTAATTTCCATCCACACATTTTTGACAATAACAATGAATTGAAACCTGTTTTGGGTGCCACATTGATGGTTCATAAAATTACCAGATACAAGTAGTTATGTAAAAATATTTAGTAAATAGTTTAAGATAATGAAGTGATTTAATTTGTGCCATGTTTTAGGTTCAAGATGATAACCATAAATAAATGTCTGCAGGTTAACAAATACGTATTTGGGAAAGTAATTAATTAATAATAGTTTCTTAACAAAGTATATCTGTCCTAAATCAATATGTTCTTAGTCATTTTAGGTGGTTGTTTGTGGATTTTCTGTCATGAAATTAGATAACAAAAACCCTGCTTAGTTTCCTAGAAAGAATATGAGGAAAGAAAAATAGTTTTAGGTCAAAATATATTAAGAATTAAAATTTTGTGAAATACTGCATTATGTACCTATAATCTTTTTAAAAAAATATTTGTTTTAGAGGGTGGGAGAGAGAGAGAGAAGTGGAGAGAGGGACAAAGGGAGAAAATCTCCAAGCAGACTCTCCACTGAGCATGGAACTGTATGTGGGGCTTGAGCCCACGACCCATGAGATCATGTCCTGGGCCAAAACCAAGAGTCAGGCACTCAATCGACTGAGCCATCCAGGCATGCCTATCTTTTAATGTCCTTTATCTCTTTTCTGTCAAGGTGCAGGATTTAAGTTTTTTTTCACTTACTGGCTATGATATGTAATACATTCTCTTGTCCTGTTCCCTTTGATCATAGTAGAGGGACGTGGAACCAAGAAAGACTGGATGGATTGCATGGGGAATATATTTTATAAAAAGGGCACCATTTATACCTGCAGATTTTTTGATATAGTTAGCCTGTAACAAAATTGAAAGCAATAATGATTTAACAAAATTATTTTAAAAATATTCCTTGTATTTGGAATTTAAAATTTGTAGTTTCTTTATTTTAATAGTTGCTTAGTAACTCAAACATAAAAAAATGTAGCACAGTAATTCAAATAGAAAAAGCATAATGAGATATTTTCATATCATTTTACTTCAGTAGAGTAAATTCATGACAGGGAGTTTTGGGATGTTGACAGTCTATTGATTTGATCTGGGTATAAGTGTGTTCATATTAGTGTTCCATCAGGTTGTATATATAAGGTTTATGTGCTTTCTGTGTCTATGTTTTATTTTAATCAAATTAAAGAACTTGCTATTAAAGTATGAAGAAACTTAACCTTCTTTTCTCTTTCAAGGAAATGATTATTGACAGAGTAAACGGACAAGCCGTTCCTAGATATTTGATATATGACATAATTAAATTCAATGTAAGTACCTTTAATATAATTTATAAAATAAAAATTGTCCCTGAGATAACAGATATGTTTTTACAAATAAAAAGTGTTACTGTCTTAGAGATGGTAGGAAAGAAAAATTGTGACTCTAGTTACCCATTTGATACCTTATTAATAATTTTGCACATTGCTTTGTCTTTAGATTTTATAAGATACTTGAAATGAGTAAATAAAAATAGTTTAATTGATAAAATAAGACAGAATTTAAAAAAAAAATTTTTTTTTTAAGATTTTATTTATTTATTTGACAGAGATCACAAGTAGGCAGAGAGGCAGGCAGAGAGAGAGAGAGGAGGAAGCAGGCACCCTGCCGAGCAGAGAGCCCGATGCGGGGCTCGATCCCAGGACTCTGAGATCATGACCTGAGCCGAAGGCAGAGGCTTTAACCCACTGAGCCACCCAGGTGCCCCAAGACAGAATTTTTTAAGATGGAAACTCTTAGTTATCCTGTACACGATTAAAAAAAAAAGTCCACAGATTTTGTTGCTGTCACTTAAAAATAAAAAGAGAAGCTGATTATGGGTATTGAATGTATAACTTAGGGGCACAAATATGTTATTCATGAGTATAGGCAGGAAACTAAAAACAAAATATAAAATTCTGTTATAAATAGATATAAAAAAATAGGAATTATATTTTCTACCCATTTCCTATAGTTTTAGGCAAGCCAAGAATCTGCCTGTTCATGTTTAATTATAGTATCAGTATTTAATTATTTAGTCAGTACAACATCACTTCTGTAAATGTGAGAAACTGTTTCAATAGTGTACATCTATGAAAAGGTATAATCATTCCTCTAGACATATATTATTCAAATTGCATAGTCATTTAGTATTCAGACAAGACTGAAAGCAATTAAGAATTCTGGAATTAAGAGTGTTTAAGTTTTAGAATTTTGAAGATTTATAACAAAATTTTTTAAAAGTTCCTTTTTGGGATATATATTTTAAATGACAGTATTGAGATTCAGGATTGCATTAATCCACTTTAAAGGCATCTTTTTCCTAGAAATTTTCAATGTACATATTTCATTTTCTGTTGAATTTATAGATTTCAAACAGTTTCCTAGGTCAGAAACCATCAAGTTTTAATTTTGTCTGTTTGTGATTACTATATGCCTCAGTAATGCTTCCTAGAATTGGCTTACTCTTATCATAGATTTTGGAATAATGTTCATTGGCCCATAATGAGACATGAAGGGTGGGAGTGGCATTGTTTTGTTGTGAAGAGGGGAGTTTTGTCTCCTCTGCCTTTTGACATTGAGCTCTGCTTTAATATGTATTCCGTGCAGGTTCACTTCTTAGCCTGGGAGCTTTGTCTTTGACATTAGCCTTCTAATTCTTTAAAAAAAAATATGAAAATTTTCAGTGTATACAAAAGTATAGAGCATAATATGAGGTATACACGTGTACTAACCACCAGATTTGTTAAAGCTTAATATTTTGTCATTTTTACTCCACTTTCTTTTTAATAAGAAATAAGTCATTACAGATCCAGTAGAAGTTTCTCATGCACACCTTACTATTCTATTTTTGACCCTCTTACCCGGAAGTGACTTCCACCCTGTATTTGATGTTTATTATTTCCATGAATGTTTTTAATAACCTTACTACCCATGTGTGTGTCCATAAAATATATGTGGTATTGTTGTGCAAGGTTTCTAGTGTTACATATATATTATACTGTACTATGGTACTGAGCATTTACTCCACGTTATTTTGAGGTTTATCTTTATTAATACACATAGGTTTAGTTCATTCAGTTTAATTACTGTTGAGTATTGTTTTGTATAAATATACAGAATTTGTCTGTTTTCCTTTTGATGAACATTTGAGTTGCCATATTTTGCTGTTACACTGCTATTAAACAGTTTATATATTCTTGTGTGCATACATCAGAGTTTCTCTAGGACAATTCTTATTCTTGGGATGTAAGCATCAGCGGTGTTTTTTAAAAAGTACAGTTCCTCTCACCCCTACCTACATCATAGAGATTCTGACTGAATTGGCAACTTCAGGTGTATGTGCTGCGTTGCTGAATTCCTCTCAGAAGCAGGTCTAACAAACAGCTTACTGCAGTTGGTATTACCAGAGTTTAAAATTTTTGCTAATTGGATGTGTGTGAAATGGCATCTGATCTTGTTTTAATTTGCTCTTTCATTATTACTAATGAAGTTAAGCCTGATTCGTTTGTTCATTTTTACTTGTTTGGATTTTTCTTTTGAGATTTAATTTTAAATTCGAATAATTTTCTAATTTTTCTGTTTGGTTGTCAGTCTTCTTAATGTGTAGGAATTAATGATCTTTCCTGCATTCTAATCCTTTTTTGGTTATGTATGTGACAATATTTTTTGCAAATTAGTATCTATTGATGCACAGGAATTTTTCGTTTTCATGAAATCAGACTTAACTAGATCTTCTCAAAGTTTGTGCTTTTTTTTAATCTTGTTTAGGAAATACATCCATATTTTGCTGTAAAAATGATTAAGTTATGCTTTTAGTAGGTCTGATTATTTACTCAGTAAGTATGTATTGAGTGCCTATTGCCATATTTCATTGATTTTAAGTCACATTTTCTCTCAAGTTTCTGATATTAAGATGTATTTATAATTGGAAGCATCATATATTTAATTTTTTAATTTACTGTGGAGCCTTGATGATTAACCAGCTTATTTTGAGTCATAAAATCAAGGTCACTGTTAGAAAAAAATGAAGTTTTGAAAAAACATAGTTAAAATCTTTTAAGTTCCTTTAGTTTATTTTGTCCACCAAGAATTTCATTGATCATCTTTTATATGTCAAGTGTTGTTCTAGGGATTGGATATACACAGATGAATAAGACATAATTTCTTGCCTTCAGGGAATTTGTAGTTCAGTGCACTGGCTTCCAAAGAAGGCCATTTCAATGGTGGGATTTGGGAAGAAAGTGGAACTTATTTTTTATCTGTTTATTCAGTTTTTGTCTGTTTTATAACATATACGGTTGTACATATATGCAACTTATTAAAATTTAACATGCATATATTGTAAACATTTGTTAGGATATGTATTTAGATTGGGTGCAAAATCAAAAGAAATTTGTAAACCATCGATTTTATGGATGAGAAATAAATGTAAAGAAATAATTATAATAGTATAACAACAATAAAGGTATGTTAGAGATACTGGAATATATAAAAAATACTAGAGAGGTGAAACTGTTTCAGTTTAACCAGAGTTAACATGGATTAATTTTGAAGGATAGAATCATGGAGGTCAGGAACATTAGAGGCTATTAGTGTACTTAATGTGTGGTAGTATGTGGGACATAGCAAGAAATGAAAATAGATTGTTGAATAGGGGGCCAGGTGACTTGAATAAGGCAGTTTAGCTTAGTCCTGGCTGTAATAGGGCACTCACTATTGAAGGGTGTTAGTTAGGGTAATGATAGGATCACACGTTCATTGTTTTGAAAGACAACTCCAGTGACAGCATGGGTAGTATTTTAAAGTGAGAAAGAATTCAAAACTAGGAAGCCAGTTAGTGAATAGTTATTGAGTTCTTTCTGTTGTCTGTTTTCAATGATTTAAACACTTCCCTTCCTATATAGGCAGCATAGATTTGAAGGTGAACTCGCTTTCAGTTTTTTTCTTATTGTTTTGGTTTTTGTGTATAGTGAAAAATATTTAGGAGAAAATTTAGAATACCTAAGTATTTTTAGACAGTGGTTAGATTATTATTATTTTTTAAAAAATGGACGACTTACTTCTTCTACATTAACTTTTTAGGGGTCTGAATTCATTTAATAGGTCTAATAAATAAGCCTAACATTTTAGGTTTTTCAACCTTGATGTAGGTGACATGGAAAAGATTATACATGGACTTTGTGATTGTTTACTGATCTTTCCTCAGTACTACCTTTTACAAACAGTTGTATGCCTTTGTGTAAAGGGAATGTATATTTCTTCATACCTAGGGCTTACTCTCTTTGTCTTGTTCCTTATTCTTTGCTAAGTATCAAAATTGTCATCCTTCCAATAGAAAAAGTCATCCTTAAGACATATTTAATGTCCGCAGCTTAAGCAAATATTGTCACCTATTTGTAAGCATTAGGTTGTTTAAATGTAGGTTGAGTAATATAGATTAGAGAAGAGGAAGAAAATGAAGAGGTGAGAAGAATTCATGGAAGACTGTCCAGTTGCAAAGTAGAGAAGAGCGGTACTTGATATGAGGTGACGATACTAATCTGGACAGTTATTGTCACCCAGATGAAATGTTAGAAGCTGTATTATTTTATATCATTAAGATAGGGTAAGCCCCTACCTTCAATTTACAGAAAAATTCTATTCACTTTTTACTTTATGATTCAAATCATGTATACCACATATATGTACCATATTGTATATATACTGTATATGGAGAACTTTCTTTATATAACTGAGTATATTATGGAGACTTTGTTTGATATTATTAGTTTTTAGAGTTGAGGATATATTTGTCTAATAATTATCTTTTACTTATTGATGATGGCTGTAAAGCATTAGTGTGTTAAGCAACAAAAACATTATAAGTGACTGTGTTTCTTATTTTGATATGTTATTTGCTTATATTTTCCTGAATTATGTGGATTGTAGTTTTATACAGATTCTACTAATTGATATAATTTTACTAATTCAAATAAAATGATTAGTGAGTATATTAATACTTTAATTCAGATGTGATAACTTCAGATCAGTATATATTAGAGAAGATTTATACCACCCTCCCATATTATGTTATGCATTTATAATTTTAAAATAACCGTGTGTGTGTTTAGGTGTCTTTAATTAATGAAATCAGGACTGGCATGTGTGGTTGTGCAGGCTGTGCATTGGACAACTCCAAAGGATGCTGTTTACATAGACGCTATGTATACTGTGACAGCCTTAATAATTATACTGATAAGATAGTTTCAGTGTTGAAATTTAAATAATTGTCTCATTTAATTCAGGCACAGCCAGTTGGAGATTGTGATTTTAATATTCGTCTGCAGTGTATAGAAAGAGAAATAATAAGTCCTCGACATGAAAAAATGAAGACTGGGCTCATTGACAAAACACAGGAACCATTTAGTGTCAGAAATAAGCCATTTTTTGACATCTATACTTCAAGAAAGGTAAAATTTTCTAATTAGTACTTACAGTGTGTCATAATTCAGCTTGTGAGAGGACTATGAATGACATTTTACTGCCCAGTTGTCTTGATTTTTTTCAGAAATTATTTTATTGAATATAGCACTATTCTGGACAAACATGTGCAATTCCCAAATCTTGTCCAGAGTAAGATTCTCAGTGGTAGAAACTTAAACTGGGTTACTTTCTTGTTTTTCATAATAGTTTTTGATTCATGGTCCGTGTTATGTTTTTTAAAAAGCTGTAAACAATGATCTCGGGAAAAAAAAAAGCTATAAACAGTGAAGAATGGTATAGTGTGAAAATCACCTGTTATGTCTTCTGAAGGTCACCAGTGGTTGGTACATACTCTTATTTAAAAAATTCATTTGCATACACACATATATTGAGAGTTTTATTTCTGTTGTTTTGATGCTTAAAATGCATCATACTGAAATTCTTGGATTGTTGTTTTTTCATTTAACAGTGTGGCTTGGAAATATTTTAGGGCCAGGGCTTAGATATTAATTTTTAACTGCTACATAGTATTTGACAGTAAAGATGAACCATGAAATTATTATGTTTGGAGAAGAATGGCTGTGATAGAATAATATAGGAAGTATAACAACATACGTAATTGCATGTTTTAAACTCCTTTGTCGTATAATCCCACTTGCCTGATGATATAAATTTTTGTTGTATCTTACCTGCTTTTGCTCATATCCACTTAATTTGATATTAACCCTTGGATATAATAGTAGCAGTAATCCCAGCACTGCCCAGTGCCCATCTTTTTAACTGTCAAGATATACAAAGCTATCTTTCTATTTTTATTGATATGTTGCATAACACCTGCTTGTCATGGTTGACATAATTGATCTCTGCTGCTATGATCTTCCCACAGTTCACTGCTTACCTTTTGTGTCTGTTGTGGTAGCAGGGATGTTATTGGGGTATTTACCTCGGGGCCCTGCTCAATCTGTAGGGTAAGAACAAAGTTGACTGACAATTAACGTGGGCCATGGCAGTGGTGAAAATTGGCTAACTGGAGCAATGTACTCTTACAGAAATACTTTTGAAATTATAAATCAGTGTAAAAGTTGGGTAGAAGCCACATGGTTTCAGTTTGCATTCAGTTTAAAAAAAAAAAACTAGCTTGACAGCTTGTGCTGTCGTAATTCAAGTTCAGTATTTAAGAAAATGTGTCTTAGATCATAGATCTCTTGAGTCAGAATCAGTGCTACTTCGAAATATTTGCGGTGGATAACTATTAGAACTGTTCTTTAAGGATATGCAGCAGTTGGGTTGAACAATTTTTCATGAGTTTTTCACTAGAAAAACTTCTTTTTTTCTTTATTCTTAGCTTATATAACCCCTTTAAAAAAATCCTAGGATATTCTCTTTTTAAAGGAATACTAGTTGGAATTTTAACTGTAACTCTCTCCCCCCATTTTCCAGTTATTATTCTTTTGTTCCCAGTTATACAAAAGGAAAGTGCATTTTGTAGCAGACTTGTTCTAAAGGGTAAAACTGTAGTAACACCAGGTACAGGATAGTAGCTACAGTTAACAGATTATTGCTGTAGAGATTCTTACTATTTTTATCACTGCTAATGGGAATGGGTGAACTAGTGATATTATGAATGATAAAGTGTTTGTGAGAGATGTATATATCATTTTTATGAAGAATACTAGTTTTTATTTGGTTTTAAACAAAGTTTACAACTCCAAAGAGTGCATATGTTTTTGCAGAAAATAATAGAATTTCATTTCTGTATATCTATAAAATTGTGGTGATAACTTTGATTTTAGGACTTTATGTAGCTCTGTTAAAAACTTACTCAACTTGTCATTTGAGCCCAGTGAAGAGATAGTGAGTTGTTCAGTTTTTTTTTAATATACATAGTTAGAATATAATATCCAGTACGGTAAAAATAAGTAGCAACTTCTCAAATTATAACTTATTTGTATTTACAGCTAGAAAGCCAGTTAAAAAAGAGTTATAAATTTTCAAAGTCATGTAGCAAAGTTTCTCTGAAAGCTTCCTATTCATTTATCACCTCAGAAGAACAACCATTGCCAATAGCACTAACTATATCCGTCAGAATTTTCCTCTGCATATATAAGCAAATACATTTATTAATATTCTTACCAACCTAATCCAAGAGGTGATTATTAACACACTGTTCTGTGCTTTGAACTTTTTTTACTTAACAATACATTTTGAGTCCCCTTGCCCTATTGGTATGTAGAGATCATCCGCTTTTTTTTTTAAACAAATGTGCAGATTTCCATCTTATCAGTGTACCATAATTTAACTTTTAGCTTAGACATTTGAGTTGTTTTTTGTTGTTTGGTAGATTTTTGTTTATTTGTTCTGCATATGAATATCCAATTGTTTCTGCACCAGTTCTTGAAGAGACTGTCCTTTTCTCATTGATTTGATTTTACATCTTTATGAAAACTGAGTTGTCATGTATGTTTGGGTCTTTTTCTAGTCTCTCTGTTCTATTCCCTTGATTGTGTTTGTCTTTTTACACTAGTACCATACCATCTTGATTACTTTCAGATTAAATCTTCAATGGGATAGGATTATTTTCCAACTCTGTACTACTTTCTTGAAGTTGTTTTGGCTATTCTTGGCCTCTGCATTTTCATATGAATTTTAGAATAAGCTTGTCAGTGTCTACAGAATCCATGCTGGAATTTGGATTGGAATTGGATTGACTATATTTAGGGGGAAGAATTGGTACCCTAACAATGATGAATTTTCGAATTCATCAACCTGGCATTTTTCTCCTTTTAATTTAAAGGTCTTTAATTTCTCTCAGACATTTTTGTAGTTTTAAGGATCAGGTTTTACTCATCTGACTCTTTTCAGTTTATTTCATACTGTTTGATATAAATACTATTTAAAAATTTTCCATTTCTAATTGTTGATAATGTATAGCAATACATTGATTTTTGTATATTGATTTTTTTCTTGTAGTCTTGCTAAACTCACTTATTCTTCTACTAGCTTTTTGTAGATTTCATCAGCTCTTTTTACATAGACAAGCATGTAATCTATAAAAAAGGGGTACTTTTCCTTTTCCTTTGCAATCTGGATACCTTTTATTTTTTTCTGTTGCCTTTTGCACTGGCTAGAGCCTCTTATTTAATGTTGAATGGAAGTAGTGAGAGTGAACAGCCTTATTTGTTCCTTTTCTTTGGAGCAGGAAAAGTTTGTTTTTAACTATTAAGGGTGGTGTTACCTTTAGGACTTTAGCAGATGCCTTTTATACAAGATAAGTTTTTAAATTTGAAAGCTTTTGATTTTAGTATGCTAATTTTATATAGTTCTCACTGTATTTTGATACTCTTTGTAATAACAATTGATTCTCTTGGGTTTTCTAGGTATTAATCTTATTAAGTACAAATAGACATAGTTTTCCTCTTTAGATTTTTCATACATTAATTTTTCTCTTATCTGATTCAATTATGCATGAGTATAATTTTAAATTGTAGTGATAGTTATAGGGATCCTTGTCTTGTTCTTGATTTGAGTGGGAATGCTTCTGGTGATTCTTAAAAGTATATTGCCTTTGAGTCTGGAATCTCTTTTATCAGGTTAAACAAGTGTCTGGTTCTATTTTTACTAAGTTGTTTTGCTTTTAATAAAGAATAGGTATTCGGTGTTGTCAAATGGCTTTTTATCTTCTATCAGTATAATTGTTTTCTTTTTCTGTTAGATTTGTTTATCTTATGAATTATATGGAAATATGTCCTGATGTGAAAAGCCCTACTTAATCTTAATGTATTGTTGTTATTGTTTTTAAAGACTTTATTATAATTTCTTTAGAGCAGTTTTAGGTTCACAACTTTTTTTTTTTTTTTTTTTTTTTTTTTAGTTTCAGGTTTTTGTTTAAATCCCAGTTAGTTAACATACAGTACAGTGTAATTTTAGTTTCAGGTATAGAATTTAGTGATTCATCATACATATGACACCTGTGCTCATCACATGAAGTGTCCTCCTTAGTACCCATCACCTATTTAACCCATCCCTCTGCCCACCTCCCCTCCAGTAAGCCTCATTTTGTTCTCCATAGTTAAGAGGCTGTTTTCTAGTTTACCTCCCCTCCCCCATTCGTTTTCTTTCTTAAATTCCATATACGAGTGAAATCATATGGTATTGTTTTTCTCTGAATTTTGCTTAGCATGATACTCACTAGCTCCATCCATGTCGTTGTGAATGGCAAGATTTCATTCTTTTTTTTTTTTT